ACTGTACCCCTCACACTCATACTGCACCCCTAATTCCAGACACACAATAGATCCCTTACCCAACTCTGGATCATCTACACACACTAGATCCCTATATACACTCTGAATCCGCTATATACACACACTCACTAGATCTCCTATACACATTCTGGGTCCCTCAAACACACACTAGACCCCTATATATATATACACACACACACACACACATTGCACCACCTACACACACTACATTCCTGAAGTACCCACCTGGATCCCCTATACACACACACACTAGATTTCTTGTAAGCAAACACATACTACATTCCCTAAACACACACTCTCTACAATCCCTACAAACACTACATCATCTATACACACACACTATAGCACGTATGCACACACTTGCTACATCCCCTATACACACACACTCTCTACAGCCCCCAGCCACACATACATTACATTACACCACGACTAAAAACGACCTTATTACACAATACCACACTACAATCAGCTCACTCTACACACACACAATCCCACAAGCAGGCTCCAAACACACGCACAATACTCTTTCCTGACTCTTTTTTTCTCCTGGTATCCCATTTATAGAGACACTAGAGACAGGTTGCAAGGAAACACAGTGCAAGCATGTTATTAAATTTGCTTGCGCTGTGCAGAACAAATACAGGACCTTTTTCTCATGCTAGAGCTCTTCACCAGAGCTCTGCGCATCGTCTGCCCTGGAAGAGATGCTCACTTTGAAAGGAGGCGTGCTTGTCATTGGTGATGACAAAATACACCTTCTCTGCCCCACCCCCTTCTTAGTAGGCTGCTGCAATTAAAAAATGCCGTGCCAAATTTTTTTCCCAGTCCGGCTCTGACTGCTTCCCATAAAATACTACCCCAGCTAACTATTTTCTCTCTCACTGTAGATCATATTGCTTGCATAATTGAACTTCTTGGTCGTATCCCACCAAAAATTGCATTATCTGGAAACAATTCAACAACTTTTTTCAACAAGCAAGGTAATAGTAAGAAATCTCTCATGTTTACAGTAAATAATATCGCAAGAGAACTTTGTTAAAGCAGAACGGTCTCTTGTGAGATTTATGCACTGTTAACAATGGGTTGTTGTGTTATTTGATTTAAAATATCTCATCAGTTTATTTTTTAATTTATATGGCCTGTCTGCCTCTCAAGGCACTGCCTGGGCATGGAATGCAAATTAAATTCATCACAACAGAGTGTGGGAAGATGCATGCATATGGTACTATGGAAGAATTGCCCGAGTGAGAATGTGCCCATCTGACATTTCACTGTAGATGCCAAACGCATCATGGAGTGGAGAAGTTACCCTGTACACAGAAAGGCCGTGCATCTAAGTGTGCTTTTTAACTTACCTCCGCAGCATTATTGGCCCAAGTAAACACTTCATTAAAGCTCACTGAGATGAGGGAACAAGAAATTGTCAGTTCCAGCTAATTGTCAGTTATCCTTAGATATTTGCTGTTTACAACATTTGAGGAACATGAGCAACATCCTTGATTTAATATCTACAGTGGTTTCTAAACTGATAGTATTTTTCATTAAACTGTGACGTATTGAGAATTAACCATGGAACTGCAAATTAACCAAAATAGGTGAATTGGAAAAACAATATACAAGGCAACTTTGGCTCTAAATTTGCAATTCACTGGTGAATTTCTGATCATTCACAGTTTAGTGCATATTTTTTTAGGCTTTGAGGACAACCAGAAAAATATTTTGTGACCAGCATTTAAAAATCTATCATGGGAAAAAAAACCATTAAATATGTTTGCAATAACCATAACCATTTAGTCTAAAACATATTAAATTAGATACGTAACCACTAAAACCCATTGTACTGGTTATGGTGCCAGTAGTCTATAGTGAACTTCTCCACTAGCTTGTACTAACTTGGGTGACAGTGATAGGCTATGAGTGCTGTGTTAAGCCACAGCCTGCACTCTTATCTTATCATTGCTCTCCTTAGTTAGATTGGCTAATGACAAGTTCACTTCTGTATTCTTCAAGCAGCACCTGAAGGAAGTGCAAGAAGAGTCCAGCTTTTTTGTCAAGTTTGATAAAGGACTTAATTGTTTGAAATGTTAAACATGTTTCTAATGTTTTTTCCATAGTGCAAATGTGATGAATAGATTGAATTTTTTAATTTTTTTTTAAACTTTCCTTGGTATAAAGACATATAACCCGAGACTTTTCCTCTTCTCTCGAAAAGCAAATATATACACAATACACAGGGCATGATATTCTAAAAAAAAAAAACATAACAGACAACCAAAATATAGCATGTAACTCAGTAACACCAATTCATAAATTATTCCAATTGGCCACTCACACTTATTCAGTTAAAATGTGTCTTGAAAAAAAGTGCAGATTTGTAATGTGCCTCCAGTGGGTCAAATATCACTCCACTAAATTTTGGGGAACATGGATGGAAGAGAACAAATTAATGGCAATAACAGTAGTTTGTAAAATATCCAAAAAACATATTTATTCACTTATATGTAGGTTTAAAACTCAGCATATTCAGTAAAACAAGTCACCACAGGCGATCCAACGCGTTTCATTTTACTAGATTTCCTTGGGGACATTCAGCAATTGACAAACAAGTAAAAACAGTAAATAT